TCACAAACATCAAAAGCACATTATATTTGGAAGCCAAGACGCACAGATCCAAAAATTTAGAAACAACTAGCTGTCCCCTGCCATGCGTTGCTGTGGCCCAGTCTGTGTATATGTGTGTGTATATATGTGTGTGTATGTATGTATATATATGGGTATATATATGTATATATATGTGTGTGTGTATATTTGTGTATTTGTGTGTTTATATGTGTACATGCATATTGTGTATACACGTGTGATTGTCTATGCATATTTGTGTGTATTGCATTCAAATCACCCCTGACAGATGGCCACCCAGCCTCTGTTTCAAAGCTTCCAAAGAAGGAGCCTCCACCACACTCCGGGGCAGAGAGTTCCACTGCTGAACGGCTCTCACAGTCAGGAAGTTCTTCCTCATGTTCAGATGGAAATTGGACGGAAGGAAGGAAGGAAGGGAAGAAAGAGGGAGGGAGGGAAGGGAGGAAGAAAGGAGGAAAAGAAGGAGAGAAAGAGGGGGGAAGGTTGGCCACAGCAATGCATGGCGGGTACAGCTAGTTGGATAATAAAAATGTATAATATCACCCTGATTATTATTATTATTATTATTATTATTATTATTATTATGCATTTCTATCCTTATTATTATATGCATTTAAACCCTGCTTATTATTATTATTATGAATTTCTATCCTTGTTATAATAATAATAACTATTACTATATGCATTTATACCCTGATTATTATTATTATTATTATGTATTTCTATCATTATTATTATATGCATTTATATCCTGCTTATTATTATTATGTATTTCTATCCTTGTTATAATAATAATAACTATTACTATATGCATTTATATCCTGCTTATTATTATTATTATGTATTTCTATCATTATTATTATATGCATTTATATCCTGCTTCTTCTTCTTCTTCTTCTTCTTCTTCTTATTATTATTATTATTATTATTATTATTATTATTATTATGTATTTCCATCCTTATTATTATTATTATATGCATTTATACCCTGCTTATTATTGTTATTATTATATTTATGTATTTCTATCCTTGTTATAATAATAACAATTTTATATGCATCTATACCCTGCTTATTATTATTATATGTATTTCTATCCTAATAATAATAATAATAATAATATGCATTTATACCCTTATTATTATTATTATTATTATCATTATCATCATGTATTTCTATCCTAATTATAATAATTATTATTATTATATGCATTTATACACTGCTTATTATTATTATTATTATTACATGTATTTCTAACCTGAGTATAATAATTAATTAATTATATGCATTTATACCCTTTATTATCCTTATTATTATCATTATCATTATTATGTTTTTCTATCCTTATTATTATTATATGCATTTATACCCTGCTTATTATTATTATTATTATCATCACTATTATTATTATGTAATTTTATCCTGGTTATAATAATAATTATTATTATATGCATTTATACACTGCTTATTTTTATTTTTATATGTATTTCTATCCTGATTATAATAATAATTAATTATATGCATGTATACCCTTTATTATCCTTATTATTATTATGTATTTCTATCCTTATTTATTTATTTATTTATTTACTTCATTTGTATACCGCATTTATCAGCCTAGGACGGCGACTCAATGCGGTTTACAGTAAAATGTGCAACACTGACAATATATAAAACAGACATACACAGACAACACACATATAGTCATCAACGCCTCAAATAGAATCAGATCCCGTTCTCACAGTCGTTTTACCGTTCCTTGTTCAGTATGCCGTCTTCCTGAGTTAGTTGTAATTGCATAATTAACTGAACGCCTGTTCATAGAGCCACGTCTTAACCCTCCTCCTAAACGCCAATAGCGAAGGGGCCTGTCTGATGTCCGCGGGTAGGGCATTCCATAGCCGAGGGGCCACCACCGAGAAGGCCCTGTCTCTCGTCCCCGCCAGCCGCACTTGTGATGCTGACGGGACCGAGAGCAGGGCCTCCCCGGACGATCTTAACGTCCTCACCGGTTCATAGGTGGAGATGCGTTCGGAGAGGTAAGTGGGGCCGGAACCGTGTAGGGCTTTATAGGCTAAAGCCAGCACCTTGAATTGTGCCCGGTAGCAAATTGGCAGCCAGTGGAGCTGGCTCAACAGAGGAGTGGTGTGCTCCCTGAGTGCCGCTCCCGTTAGCAACCTGGCTGCCGAACGCTGGACCATCTGAAGCTTCCGGGCAGTCTTCAAGGGCAACCCCACGTAGAGCGCGTTGCAGTAATCTATGCGGGATGTGACAAGAGCGTGGACTACCGTGGCCAAGTCCGACTTCCCAAGATACGGGCGCAGCTGGCGCACGAGCCGAAGCTGTGCAAATGCTCCTCTGGAGACCGCTGAAACTTGGGGTTCCAAGCTTAGCGAAGAATCCAGAGTCACACCCAAGCTGCGAACCTGTGCCTTCAGGGGGAGTGCGACCCCGTCCAGCACAGGCTGTAACCCCGTACCCTGTTCGGTCTTACGACTGACCAGGAGTACCTCTGTCTTGTCTGGATTTAGTTTCAATCTGTTGTCCCTCATCCAGTCCGAGACAGCGGCCAAGCACCGGTTCAGGACCTGGACATATATATTATATGCATTTATACCCTGCTTATTTTTGTTATTATTATTATCATTATTATTATTATGTATTTCTATCCTTGTAATAATAATAATAATAATAATAATAATAATAATAATATGCATTTATACACTGCTTAGTATTATTATATGTATTTCTATCCTTGTTATAATAATAATTATTATTATATGCATTTATACCCTGCTTATTATTATGATGAATTTATATCCTTATTATTAATAGCAATATATGCATTTATATAATGTTATTGTCTCCCATATGTCTTCTATCCCAGATTTAGCATTTATTATTACAATATTTATATCTCCCTCAATATGATTAGTAGTATTTATATCCTGCTTATTATTATTATTATTATTATTATTATTATTATTATGTATTTATACCCTTGTGTGCCGTCGCGCTTGGGGGCTATTAGTCTTAAAAGGAGGATGGACGTGGCATCTTTTCCCCAGGGGATTGCTTCTTGCCCTCCTTTAGGAAACTTGAACTCCCAAGAACCCAAAACGATGTAAATAACTCAAAATAAGTTTTATTTGTCACAAAGTCATTTCTTCAATGCAATAAACTGGAAAACTTTAGAAGGGTGAAGGAAAAACACACTTTACAGTCTCTATTAGTCCTGGGTCCAAGGGGTTTGAAGCTGAGAAGCCTCACCAGGTTTCCTCTTCCTCAATGGTTGTGAGTGCCGGAGCAAAACCACAACCCCAATTCAAATGGCCTATTTTGAAGATTCAGGATCTTCCTCTGGTGCCAAAAGAACTGGCTTGAAGGCGCCTGGGTCTCCTCAGTATCCGTCCAGGATGATCTGGACATAAAGCATGAGTCCCAGGGGTAAAAAACCTCAGAATTGGTGCTAAGAGGTAACTTGCAAGGGTCCTTTAGAATGAAGTCTCTTACTCACGTCCATGTTGCAGGAACTCTCATGGCAGAATGAAAAGAAAAGGAAGTTCTCCCCTCTTGCAGGAAGAGGTGGAGCCAAAACAGTGCTGATTGACAGCTACAAGTAACCAATCCATACAAATATACAGAAACATGGCAAAAGGGGCAGGATTAAGCATGATACAACAGTTTAAATCTTACAACTAACAGTTCTATACATAGGTGGCGCCACTCGCGCCGTCACACCTTGTAATAATAATAATAATAATAATAATAATAATAATATGCATATAATAATAATTATTATTATAGCCAGGATATTAATACATATAATAATATAATATATACATATAATAATAATAATAATAATAATTATTATTATTATTATGTATTTATACCCTTGTAATAATAATAATAATAATAATATGCATATAATAATAATTATTATTATAGCCAGGATATTAATACATATAATAATATAATATATACATATAATAATAATAATAATTATTATTATTATTTCTATATGCATTTATACCCTGACTATTATTATTATTATGATTATGTATTTATACCCTTGTAATAATAATAATAATAAAATAATAATATGTATTTATATCCTTGTAATAATAATAATTATTATTATATGTATTTATACCCTGATTATTATTATTATTATTATTATTATATGTATTTCTATCCTAATAATAATAATTTATTATATGCATTTATACCCTGATTATTATATTATTATTATTATTATATGTATTTCTATCCTAATAATAATAATAATTTATTATATGCATTTATACCCTGATTATTATTATTATTATTATTATTATATGTATTTCTATCCTAATAATAATAATAATTTATTATATGCATTTATACCCTGATTATTATTATTATTATTATTATTATCATCATCATCATCATGTATTTCTATCCTGGTTATAATAATAATAATAATTATATGCATTTATACTCTGCTTATTATTATTATGTATTTCTATCCTTCTTATTATTATATGCATTTGTACCCTGCTTATTATTATTGTTGTTATTATGTATTTCTATCCTTATTATTATTATATGCATTTACACCCTGCTTATTTTTGTTATTATTATTATTATTATTATTATTATTATTATTTATATCCTTGTAATAATAATAATAATAATATGCATTTGTACCCTGCTTATTATTATTATATGTATTAGCATTTATTATTACAATATTTATATCTCCCTCAATAGGATTAGTAGTATTTATACCCTGCTTCATTATTATTATTACTACTATTATGCATTTGTATCCTGCTTATTAGTATTTATATTCTGTTTCCTTTTTCCATGATGATGATGATGATGATGCTGTGTATCCTCCCTTCCAAAAGGGCGGCCTCCTTTCCCTCCTTTGGCGAGGCCGCTCTAGCCTCCCCTCTCGTTGTCCCTTCTCCGGAGATTGGCTGGGACGGGGAAGGAAGGGAAGGGGCGTGTCCTCGGCAGCCGACCGGAAGCGGAAGAGGCCTTGCTTTCAGACATGGAGCGCTACGACAAAGCGGCGCTAAACGCGCTCCCGACCCTGGAAGCCCGGTAAGACCCCAGGGAGAGAGAGAGAGAGAGACTGAGAAAGGGACAGCCCTAATGTGTGAGCTTGCAAGGCCCGCGTTTATATCCTGCTTCTGGACAACAAGCCCTATGAGGAGCGGCTTAAAGAGCTGGGCCTGTTTACCCTTCAGAACACAAGGCTGAGAGGAGACAGGATGAATAAATACGTGAGGGGAAGTCATGGGGAGGAGAGGAGAGAGCAGATCAAGAGTCTGGAGAACAAGCCCTATGAGGAGCGGCTTAAAGAGCTGGGCATGTTTAGCCTGAAGAAGAGAAGGATGAGTGGAAACAGGATGAGGGCCAGGGATCAATAAGTGAGGGGAATATGTCATAGGGAGGAGGGAGCGGATCAGGGGCCTGGAGAACAAGCCCTATGAGGAGCGGCTTAAAGAACTGGCCATGTTTACCCTTCAGAAGCGAAGGCTGAGAGGAGACAGGATGAGGGCCAGGGGTCAATAAGTGAGGGGAATATGTCATAGGGAGGAGGGAGCAGATCAAGGGTCTGGAGAACAAGCCCTATGAGGAGCGGCTTAAGGAGCTAGGCATGCTTAGCCTGCAGAAGAGAAGGCTGAGAGGAGACATGAGGGAGGGAAAGGTAAACCCTTCTCCGGACAAATCTGCAATGCGTCCAGAGGAGGGCGACTCCAATGATCCAGGGCCTGGAGAARAAGCCCTATGAAGAGCGGCTTAAAGAYCTGGGCATGTTTACCCTGAAGAAGAYAAGGATGAGTGGAGACAGGATGAGGGCCAGAGATCAATAAGTGAGGGGAATATGTCATAGGGAGGAGGGAGCGGATCAAGGGTCTGGAGAACAAGCCCTATGAGGAGCGGCCTAAAGAACTGGGCATGTTTAGCCTGAAGAAGAGAAGGATGAGAGGAGTCATGAGGGAGGGAAAGGTAAACCCTTCTCRGGACAAATCTGCAATGCGTCCAGAGGAGGACGACTCCAATAATCCAGGGTCTGGAGAACAAGCCCTATGAAGAGCGGCTTAAAGAGCTGGGCATGTTAAGCCTGAAGAAGAGAAGGCTGAGAGGAGACAMGATGAGGGCCGGGGATCAATAAGTGAGGGGAATATGTCATAGGGAGGAGGGAGCACATCCAGGGTCTGGAGAACAAGCCCTATGAGGAGCGGCTTAAAGAGCTGGGCATATTTACCCTTCAGAACACAAGGCTGAGAGGAGACAGGATGAATAAATATGTGAGAGGAAGTCATGGGGAGGAGAGAGCTCGCTTATTTTCTACTGCCCTGGAGACTAGGATTTCAAACTATGGGAAAGGAAGGAGATTCCACTGGAACATGAGGAAGGAACTTCCTGACCGTGAGAGCTGTTCAGCAGTGGAACTCTCTGCCTCAGGGTGTGGTGGAGGCTCCTCCTTTGGAGGCTTTTAAGCAGAGGCTGGGTGGCCATCTGTCAGGAGGTCTTTGAGTGTAATTTTCCTGCTTCTTGGCAGAATGGGGTTGGACTGGGTGGGCCAACAGGGTCTGATCTGTTAATCATAAGAGTGTAAGTTAGACTCTTATGTGACACGCTGTCACTCTCCAGTGACTCACTGCACAGATTCTGGGGTGTAAATCCTGTTTATTCAAGTCTGTGTAGAATCCTTCCATGTCTGAGGAAGAAGGAACCAGACTGTGTGTGTTTGCAAGATGTAAAAGCAGTAGTTAGTGCCTTGAGTATTTTGGAATTTAGGTGTGGTTAGGTCCCTTTGTTTTGATATAAATAGCTCAACAAAGTCCACAGGAATCTGACTGTTGTGAATACTACATGTGTTAAAGGTAAAGCTGGGTCAGATCAATGCTGGTGTTAACAACAACTGGAAAAGCTGGCACGATATGAGGATTTAATATGAGGATAATATCCTCAGCTGCTGCAAGAAGATCGCACAGACAGACTACAAGCAGGGGCACAACACCATTGCTCCGGTGATCCATTGGAACTTGTGCCACAAACACCAAAAGAACTGGTGGGATCACATGCTGGAAAAGGTTACAGAAAATAAATACATCAAACCACTCTGGGACTCCCAAATTCAGAGTTTTGGAGCACAAGACTCCTGACCTCACGATCGTGTTGAAAAACAAAGTATGGATTGCCGATGTTGTAATCCCAGGTGACAGCAGGATTGCAGAGAAACAACTGGAAAAGCTGACACGATACGAGGATTCAAAGATCGAACTGCAAAGACTCTGGCACAAACCAGTCATCTTGGTCCCAGTGGTGATCAGCACACTGGGTGCAGTGCCTAAAGACCTTGGCCTGCACTTAAACACAATTGGCGCTGATAGAATTACCACCTGCCAGCTGCAGAAGGCCACCTTACTGGGATCTGCACGCATTATTTGCCGATACATCACACAGTCCTAGACACTTGGGAAGTGTCCGACGTGGGATCCAATACAACAGCCAGCAGAGTGTCTGCTGTGGACTCATCTTGTTGTGTTTCTAATAATAACAATAATAACAATAATAACAATAATAACAACAATAATAAAACAGCCAGCAGAGTGTCTGCTGTGGACTCATCTTGTTGTGTTTCTAATAATAGTAATAATAATAATAACAATAATAACAACAATAACAACAATAATAAAACAGCCAGCAGAGTGTCTGCTGTGGACTCATCTTGTTGTGTTTCTAATAATAGTAATAATAATAATAATAATAACAACAACAATAATAAAACAGCCAGCAGAGTGTCTGCTGTGGACTCCTCTTGTTGTGCTTCAAATAATAATAATAATAATAATAATAATAATAATACAGCTAGCAGAGTGTCTGCTGAGGACTCAACTTGTGTTTCTAATAATAATTATAATAATAATAATTAATAATAATTCTCCATTGGTACCACCTTGTCGTTGGCACGGGGCTTCACTGTTTCTATGATGTTGAGAGCTGTGCCGGCGATTGTGTAAACTACCAGTAGGTTCAACCAAGCCTGAGTGGTCTCAACTGAGAAGTAGAACTAAGTGCACCCAACCCATTTAAATATGGTGAAACAAACTCTAAAGAAGTCTATACTGGCTTGGTCGTCGCCCAGGATTTAAAGATCAACCTGCAAAGACTCTGGCACAAGCCAGTCAAGGGGGTCCCAGTGGTGATTGGCACACTGGGTGCAGTGCCTAAAGACCTTGGCCTGCACTTAAACACAATTGGCGCTGACAAAATTACCATCTGCCAGCTGCAGAAGGCCACCTTACTGGGATCTGAACGCATTATTTGCCGATACATCACACAGTCCTAGACACTTGGGAAGTGTCGTGTGATCCAATTCAACAGCCAGGAGAGTGTCTGCTGTGGACTCATCTTGTTGTGTTTCATATAATAATAATAATAATAATAATAATAATAGCCAGCAGAGTGTCTGCTGTGGACTCGTCTTGTTGTGTTTCATATAATAATAATAATAATAATAATAATAGCCAGCAGAGTGTCTGCTGTGGACTCATCTTGTTGTGTTTCATATAATAATAATAATAATAATAATAATAATAATAGCCAGCAGAGTGTCTGCTGTGGACTCATCTTGTTGTGTTTCATATAATAATAATAATAATAATAATAATAATAAGCCAGCAGAGTGCCTGCTGTGGACTCATCTTGTTATGTTTCAAATAATAATAATAATAATAATAATAATAATAATAATAATAGCCAGCAGAGTGTCTGCTGTGGACTCCTCTTGTTGTGTTTCATATAATAATAATAATAATAATAATAATAATAATAATAATAATAATGCTAAATTTCCTATGAAATAGCGTGTTAATAATAATGATGATGATAATGATTATTATTATTGTTATTCTATGGGGGGGAAACAGCTTATAAATACACATAATAATAATAATTATTCTATGGGAAAAGAAGCAGCTTATAAATACATATAGTTATTATTATTATTATTATTATGTGGGGAAAAGAAGCAGCTTGTAAATACATATAATAATGATAATAATAATAATAATAATAATAATAATGCTAAATTTCCTATGGGGGAGAAGAAGTAGTGTGTTAATAATGATGATGATGATGATTATTATTATTCTATGGGGAAAAACAGCTTATATAATAATAATAATAATAATAATAATTATTATTATTATTCTATGGGGAAAAGAAGCAGCTTATAAATACATATTATTATTATTATTATTATTATTATGTGGGGAAAAGAAGCAGCTTGTAAATACATATAATAATGATAATAATAATAATAATAATAATAATAATGCTAAATTTCCTATGGGGGAGAAGAAGTAGTGTGTTAATAATGATGATGATGATGATTATTATTATTCTATGGGGAAAAACAGCTTATAAATACATATAATAATAATAATTATTATTATTATTATTATTATTATTCTATGGGGAAAAGAAGCAGCTTATAAATACATATTATTATTATTATTATTATTATGTGGGGAAAAGAAGCAGCTTGTAAATACATATAATAATAATAATAATAATGCTAAATTTCCTATGGGGGAGAAGAAGTAGTGTGTTAATAATGATGATGATTATTATTATTATTATTATTCTATGGGGAAAAGAAGCAGCTTATAAATACATATTATTATTACTATTATTATTATGTGGGGAAAAGAAGCAGCTTGTAAATACATATAATAATAATAATAATAATAATGCTAAATTTCCTATGGGGGAGAAGAAGTAGTGTGTTAATGATGATGATGGTGATGATTATTCTATGGGGAAAAACAGCTTATAAATACATATAATAATAATAATAATAATAATAATAATAATAATAATTATTATTATTATTCTATGGGGAAAAGAAGCAGCTTATAAATACATATTATTATTATGTGGGGAAAAAAGCAGCTTGTAAATACATATAATAATAATAATAATAATAATGCTAAATGTCCTATGGGAGAGCAGAAATGGGATATAAATATGATGATGATGATGATAAAAATCTGAAAACAAAGAAGCAGGATATAAATATAGTATGAATGTTGCGTTTCTAATAATAATAATAATAATAATAATATCTATGGGGAAAAGAAGCAGGATATAAATACATATAATGATAATAATATATATTGGGTTTTTTTTCTAAATATCCTATGGTATATTGTCAATATCCTAGATAATATATTAGTATTATTCTATTACAGTGTTATTAATGATATATATTATTATATTGTATATACTGAGGGGCTTCTGAGCGATGCTGCAAGAGACATGATGGAGATGTGTCTTCCTGGCTGTCCCCTAATTGTTCGTAATACATGGTTCAAACTACATTAATGCTACATTGATGGAGATGTCCCTTTGGACATACAGCGCTGTGTCTGTGTGTAAGTTAGACTCTCATCTGACACTTCGTCACTCTCCAATGACTCACTACACAGATTCTCGGGTGTAAAATCTGTTCATTCAAGTCTGTGTAGAACTGTTCCATGTCTGAGCAGGAAGCAACCGGACTGTGTGTGTTTGCAAGATGTCAATTGCAAAGATGTCTCTAATCTTTTCGAATTTAGGTGTACTTAGGTCACTTTGTTTTGGTATAAATAGTTCTACAAAGGCTGCAGGAATCCAACTGTTGTGGATATTACAAGTGTTAAAGGTTAAGGTGGGTCAGATCAATGCTGGTGTTAAAATCTTGCTGAATAATAATAATAATTTTATATATATATATATATATATATATATATATTTGAATTTTTTTTTTGGTCATGTCAGGAGCAACTTTGAGAAACTGCAAGTCGCTTCTGGTGTGAGAGAATTGGCCGTCTGCAAGGATGTTGCCCAGGGGACGCCCGATAATTTGATGTTTTTATCATCCTTGTGGGAAGCTTCTCTCATGTCCCCGCATGAGGAGCTGGAGTTGATAGAGGAAGCTCATGCCTCTTCCCGGATTTGAACCTCTGACCTGTCGGTCTTCAGTCCTGCCGGCATAACTACAACTCCCAAATGTCAAGGTCTATTTCCCCCAAACTCCATCTGTGTTTTGTCGAAGGCTTTCATGGCTGGAATCACTAGGTTATTGTAGGTTTTTTCGGGCTATAGGGCCATGTTCTAGAGGCATTTCTCCTGACGTTTCGCCTGCATCTATGGCAAGCATTCTCAGAGGTAGTGAGGTCTGTTGGAATTAGGAAAATGGGTTTATATATCTGTGGAATGACTGGGGTGGGGCAAAGAGCTCTTCCTGCTGAAGCTAGGTGTGAATGTTTCAGCTGACCACCTTCATTAGCATTTGAAGGCCTGGCTGAGCCTGGGAAAATGTTCTGTGGAGAGGTGTTAAGATGTGCCTGGTTGTTTCCTCTCTGCTGTTATTGCTGTTGGAAGCACCATTAAAGCCTTGGCAGACCGTGCAAAAAGAATCTGCGAAGCCCACCTCCTCCAAGATGGACTGAACCACCTCAACTGGGCTCTCCAGGCCAATGGAGACTCCACCTCAGACATCAGAAGAGCTGCAAGACCACAGAAGAAGCCACGAGAGTAAAGATGAAGATCCACCCAGAGGAAAAGTGTTCCTGCCATACATCAAGGGAACCACTGACCGCAGAGGGAAGCTGATGAGGAAACACAACATACAAACAATCTCCAGACCCACCAAGAAAATCCAACAAATGCTACATTCAGCAAAGGACAAGTGGGGTCCTCTCACCTCTGCAGGAGTCTACCATACCATGCAGCTGTGGACAAGTCTACATAGGGACCACCAAATGCAGCATTGCCCAAACACGAATCAAGGAACATGAAAGGCACTGCAGACGACTTCAACCAGAGAAGTCAGCCATAGCAGAGCACCTGATGAACCAACCTGGACACAGCATATTATTAGAGAACACAGAAATGCTGGACCACTCCAACAACCACCATGTCAGACTACACAGAGAAGTCACACAAGCATGTGGACAATTTCAACAGAAAGGAAGAAAACATGAAAATGAACAAAATCTGGCTACCAGTATTAAAAAACTCTAAAATTACAACAGCAAAACAGCAGAGAGGAAACAACCAGGCACATCTTAACACCTCTCAACAAAAGATTTTCCCAGGCTCAGCCAGGCCTTCAAATGCTAATGAAGGTGGTCAGTTGAAACATTCACACCTAGCTCCAGCAGAGAAGAGCTCTTTGCCCCACCCCAGCCATTCCACAGATATATAAACCCATTTTCCTAATTCCAACAGACCTCACTACCTCTGAGGATGCTTGCCATAGATGCAGGCGAAACGTCAGGAGAAATGCCTCTAGAACATGGCCATATAGCCCGAAAAAACCCCACAAGAACCTAGTGATTCCAGCCATGAAAGCCTTCGACAATGCAATGAATGTAATGATTAAAGGACTGGCAATATGGACGACGATTTTAGTTAGGAGATGAATTGGATTGTTATTGATATATGAATTGTGTATTATGTTTTTATGGTTTTAAACTGTATACTGTTGATTGTTATATTTTGTTGTAAACCGCGTTGAGTCGCCGGCTAGGCTGAGAAACAGCGGTATCAAGTCTAGCAAATAAATAAATAAATAAATGCATCTCAAAGTTCCCTGCTTGGGCGGTGATGGCACGATCATCAGCATAGATGGCAGTGGCTGGTCATTTGTGTAGATGTTGCACATGGATGGAGCAAGCACGCTCCCTGGAGGCAGGTCGTACTTCTGTTTCCGCTATCTGCTTCTCTGGCCCCAGAATGCAACAAAAAAGCTCCTGTTCTGTAGCAGGTAATGAGTTCCAGAGTCGGGGGGCCACAGAGGAGAAGGCTCTCTCCCTTGTGCCCACAAGGCGAGCTTGTGAAATTGATAGGGGCAAAAGGAGGGCTTCCCCCGAAGATCGGAGGGCTTGGGCTGGTTCAATAATAATAATAATAATAATAATAATAATAATAATAATAATAATATCTTTTGGGGAAAGAAGCAGGATATAAATACATATAATAATGATGATGATAATACATCTATGGGAAAAAAGAATATAAATTCATATATTAATATAATAATAATAATTAAAAAGCAGGATATAAATGCATGTAATGATAATATTAATAAGAAATGCTAAATCTATAGGATATAAACATAATGGGATTTGTAGTTTGACAAGGCCTTTGGACACTTGTTAAACCCCCAGCTCTCATGATTCCTTAATACTGAGTTATGACAGTTCCAGTGGTGCCAAACTGCATTTAATTCTACAGTGTAGATGCCCCCACGGGCAACTAGAATTGCATTCCAAATCCAATGTTAATCACATTGAGAGTAGACCCATTTAAACAAATGGAACTAAATTGTGGATAGTACTTTGCACAGTTCTCAATAGTTGGACTCTAGGTTGGGGTTAACTCAGTACTTTTCCTTAGATAAACCATTATTCTGATGATTTGATGGATGTCTTATGTTTTGTTGCAGAAGTGACGGTTCCTTGGCCTCCACGCTGAGGACTCTTCTGTTCTTCACGGCTTTGATGATTATGTTACCCATTGGACTCTATTTTTCCTCAAAGACCTATGTCTTCGAAGGTAACTTGCTCACTTAAATACTACCTTTCACCTGTCTTTTCCTCAGAGAGTAAAGTATTTAAAATCAGGGTTTTTTTGCACTGGGATGTGGGTGGCCTAAAACCTTACGTTTTGAGAGAATTATGTTGTTTACTGAAAGAAGTGAGCACGTCACTGATTCCATGTGCAGTTTCTCAAGAATAAAGTAAGGAGATGGTGAAGGAGGGCACATTGCACATACTAATACATTATATATATCAATAATAATCTATATAAATAAAAATGTAATGTTCGTTTGTGGGATTAACAGAATTCAAAAACCATTGAGCGAATTGATGCCAAATTTGGACACAATATACGTATCAGGCCAACGAGTGGCCATCACTCATAAAAACACAGCAGAAGGGACTTAAAAAGCCAAAAAACCACAAAAAATGCATTACAACGCACGCGCAAAACTATACACACACACACACATATGCACATGCATATACAGGGAGAAAACAGCGAGAAGAGGGAAGGAAGGAAGGAAGGAAGGAAGGAAGGAAGGAAGGAAGGAAGGAAGGAAGGAAACTACACACACACACACACATATATACACACACAAACACATATATACACACATATATGCATATACACACACAAAACATACACAGAAGAAAGGAAGGAAGGAAGGAAGGAAGGAAGGAAGGAAGGAAGGAAGGAAACTACACACACACACACACATATATACTCACACAAACACATATATACACACATATATGCATATACACACACAAAACATACACAGAAGAAAGGAAGGAAGGAAGGAAGGAAGGAAGGAAGGAAGGAAGGAAGGAAACTACACACACACACACACATATATACTCACACAAACACATATATACACACATATATGCATATACACACACAAAACACATACACAGGAGGAAGGAAGGGAGGAGAGAAGGAATGAAAGAAAGAAGGGTACAGAAGGATGGAGGGAGGGAAGGAAGGAAAAAGAAGGGTGCAGAAGGAGAGAATGAGGGAGAGAAAAAGGGAAAAAGGAAGAAAAGAAAGAAGGGTAGAGAAGGAAGGAGAGAAGGAGGGATAGAATGAAATAAAAAAGTGAAAGAGGGAAGGAAGGAGAGAAGGAACAAAAGAGAAGACGGAGGGAAGGAAGGATGGAACCAACGAGCAAAGGAAGCAAGAAAAGAAACAGGTAGAGAAAGAAGAAGGGAAACAGAAGGGAAAGAAAAAAAGGGAGGGAAGGAAAGAGGAAGGGAGGGAAGGAAGAGAAAGAAAGAAGGCGAGAAAGAAGGAGGGTAGGTTGGCACTAGGCCTGTTTGATCAAGAAAAAATTTGTTTCTAAAATCGTTTTGTAATTGGGGTGTTTTTTTGTTTCGATATTTAAAATAATTACAAAACTTTCCCAAAAAAAGTTTTGGTATTTACAAAATTTTGTAAATATTAACGAATTTTTAGAATATTTTTTTTATTTTTTAAGAATAATATTAAAAATAATATTAAAAAATAATATTAAAAAATAATATTAAAAATAATATTAAAAATATTTTAAAATGGAAAACGAAACCGCACAGGCCTACTATACAGACATAGCGGGTTTGAGTCAGACCCAGCTAACACCTCCCAACAAAGGATTCCCCTGAGCAGGAAGGAGCCAGACTTTGAAGCTACAAGGCCATTTAATCCCAATCAAGCTGTCCAATGGCAACATTCACACTTGCCTCCAACAGACAAGAGTTCTTTCTCCCCCCCTGGACCTTCTACAGCCAGGCTTTGAAGCTGCGAGGCCATTCAATGCTAATCAAGGTGGCCAATGGCAGCATTCACAATTGCCTCCAACAGACAAGGGTTCTTTCTCCCACCCTGGACGTTATTTCACAGGGATATAAACCCTACTTGCCTAGTTTCCAACAAACCTCTGAGGATGCCTGCTATAAGATATGAGAGAAACGTCAGGAGAGAATGCTCCTGAATCCTCCTCCACATGCGGCTACATAGTGAGTGAAGTACTGTATAATAGCGCTGCATCAGGGGCGGCTGAAGCAACTTACGTGCCAAATCCCTGGCTGTGGGCTGCTTGGCTTGCTTGCTCGCTTCTCCAAGCGGGCGAAAGGAGAGGGAGAGAGAAAAACAGTGTGCTGCTGCCTGTCTCTTTAAGGAAGGAGCACATGGAGTCCTCGGCTGCCCGTTTGGCGGAGGGAGGGAGGCAGGCGCGCGCTTGGTTGCTCTTTTTTTCTCCTCAGCTAAACCCAGAGCAACCAAGCGCGCGCCTGCCTCCCTCCCTCCGCCAAACGGGCAGCCGAGGGCTCCATGTGCTCCTTCCTTAAAGAGACAGGCAGCAGCACACTGTTTTTCTCTCTCCCTCTCCTTTCGCCCGCTTGGAGAAGCGAGCAAGCAAGGCAAGCAGCCCACAGCCAGGGATTTGGCACGTAAGTTGCTTCAGCCGCCCCTGATGCAGCGCTATTATAATACAGTACTTCACTCACTATGCAGCCGCATGTGGAGGAGGAGGAGTGTTGGAAAACGGGGAGAGGGGAAAGAGGGCGGGGAGAGCAGCCCAGGCCGAGAAAGAGGGGAATGGCACCAGCACTCCAGCAGCCTCCATCCCATTAACGAAACGAGCGGAAGCTCGTTAAATTTATGGGGGCTGCCGGTTCGATATTTTTAAACCCTTCCGGGTTTGAAAATGTGTTTTGATATCGCTTCAAAAATGCAAAAATAACGAATTAATAACGAAATAACGAAATAACGAACTAAATCGCACAGGCCTAGTTGGCACAGCTAGTCTATATAAATAAAAATGTAATGTTCATTTGTGAGATTAACAGAACTCAAAAACCACTGGATGAATTGACATCAAATTTGGATACAAGACGCCTAACAATCCAATGTATGTCCTTCACTCAAAAAAATTGATTTTGTCATTTGGGAGTTGTAGTTGCTGGGATTTATAGTTCACCTACAATCAAAGAGCATTCTGAACCCCACCAACGATGGAATTGAACCAAACTTGGCACACAGTTCTCCCATGACCAACAGAAAATACTGGAAGGGTTTGGTGGGCAGTGTCCTTTGGTTTTGGAGTTGTAGTTCACCTACATCCAGAGATCACTGTGGACTCAAACAATGATGGATCTGGATCAAACTCTACATGAATACTCAATATGCCCAAATGTGAACACTGGTGGAGTTTGGGGAAAATAGAATCTTCTCTTCTCTAATAACACAGATATCTATAAATCAGTTGTAAATAAGCAATTGTCCTATTTAAATAAGCTTCAACATAGGTACAAGTTTAAGTAACTTCAATAGTGAAACGTACACAATATATATACAGTTTACAACATAATTTCATAGGACATATACATCAATGAATATATCAAACTTAAAGGCAGTTCACATTGTGTTTAGTCCATTTGAGAATATGTGCATGATGTTACAACAAAAATTCACGTTGTATTCCACAAATTTGAGAGTATCAAAACTGGAAACAGTTTGTGTTGCTTTCAGCCAACTCAGGAGTCCACAACAAGGTTCCCCGGGTGCTTTTGTGTCCTTGTTTCAAGAACAAAATTCTCTTCTTCAGGCTTCTTTCATTAAATCAAAGGTAATAGTACTTCTGTGGTTTTTACTAAATTTAGAGAGGACAAAATAATAGATATGCTAAGTAGCACCCAGTTATATTTTGAAAATTCTTATATAAACAAAACAAGGAATTTACTTACATTAATAGCATCAATGGCTCTGCAAAGAAACTTCAGTGTAGTGTAGCCTGCTTCTGCTTTCAATTGCGAGCAATAAGATACAAGAGGTTACTCCCTTTTAAGGATATCAGTTCATTACCGGTGATTACAGAAAGCAAGTGAGCTCTAATTTGTCATTTAACCCTTGTGGGTGTACTGTCTGCAGTTTAGAGATCCAAAATGCTTCTCTCTGTAGTAAAGTGCTATTTTGATCTCCATGAGGCTTTGTGATTATTCTCTCTAAAGCACAGAATTTAAAGCTAGTGTATGAATGAGATTTTTCTATGAAGTGTGAGTAGAGGGTAGAGTCTGAAGCTTTATTTTTGATACGGGAGCGATGTTCAAGGATTCTAGTTTTTAAGGTCTTTATGGTAGAATCTTGACATTTGGGAGTTGTAGTTGCTGGGATTTGTAGTTCATGGTGGGCATTTTTAGGTGTCTTGCGTCCAAATTTGGTGTCAATTAGTTGAGTGGTTTTTGAGTTCTGTTAATCCCACAAACGAACATTACATTGGGTTGTTGTAGGTTTTTTCGGGCTATATGGCGATGTTCTAGAGCAGGGGTCGGGAACCTTTGGCCCTCCAGCTGTGGTGGACTTCAACTCCCACAATTCCTTGAGGCTCGGCATTCGCCCCAAAGGCTTACCTTGGCCCAACGAGGTTTGTTTGGCTCTTTTTCATGGAGGACGGGCAGCAAAGGGGGAGAGACGAGCGTAACGTAGCTGTGCAGATGGCGAGGAAGGATGCGGAGCCCACAGACTGGCCTCGGAGGGAGAGAGCGGGCGGAAACCCCTGCGGGCAACGCGCCTCCTCGCCGCTTCGGCCCTTAGCACCCGCCCCGCATGGACCCCCTCCCTAGCAACGACGCCGGCTGAGTGACGTCGTGCAGAGCTTGTCGGGGAAAAGGGAAGGCGAAGGCTGGAGGGAAAGGGCTCTGCGCTGTTTAAGCGGCGAGGAGGCGCGTTGCCCGCAGGGGTTTCCGCCCGCTCTCTCCCTCCGAGGCCAGTCTGTGGGCTCCGCATCCTTCCTCGCCATCTGCACAGCTACGTTACGCTCGTCTCTCCCCCTTTGCTGCCCGTCCTCCATGAAAAAGAGCCAAACAAACCTCGTTGGGCCAAGGTAAGCCTTTGGGGCGAATGCCGAGCCTCAAGGAATTGTGGGAGTTGAAGTGCACCACAGCTGGAGGGCCAAAGGTTCCCGACCCCTGTTCTAGAGCCCGAAAAAACCTACAACAACCCAGTGATTCCGGCCATGAAAGTCTTCGACAATACATTGTACATTACATTTTTATTTATATAGATGATTATTTATCATATTCTGCCAATTGGTAATTTCTACTACTGAGATTTGAATAGGTAGCATCCTTAAAAAAAGTTTATTTGGGATAATATTGTCCTTTTTGTATTGTCGAAGGCTTTCATGGCTGGAATCACTGGGTTGTTGTAGGTTTTTTTGGGCTATATGGCCATGTTCTAGAAGCATTCTCTCCTGACATTTCGCCTGCATCTATGGCAAGCATCCTCAGAGGTAGTGAGGTCTGTTGGAACTAGGAAAAATGGGTTTATATATCTGTGGAATGACCAGGGTGGGACAGGCACTGTCAGGCCATCAAATGCTAATCAAGGTGGTCAGTTGAGACATTCACACCTAACTCCAGCAGACAAGAGTCCTTTGTCCCACTCTGGTCATTCCACAGATGTATAAACCCTTTTTCCTAGTTCCGACAGACCTCACTACCTCTGAGGATGCTTGTCTTTCCAAGAGATTTGCAGGATTTTCCAGAGGCAGCGCTGATGGAATTGTTCCAGGAGTTGCATGTGATGTCTGTAGACAGTCCACGTCTCACAGGCGTATAGCAGGGTTGGGGAGGGATTAGCTTTATAAACAAGCCCCTTGGTCTCCCTACGGGTGTCCCGTTCTTCAAACACTGCTTTATTCGGAAGAATACTGCACTCGCAGAGCTCAGACAGTGTTGACGTATGTAGACAGTCCACGTTTCGCAGGCGTAAAGCAGGATTGCCCCAGGCACTGCCAGACCATGAAATGCTAATGAAGATGGTCAGTTGGAACATTCACACCTAGCTCCAACAGACAAGAGTCCTTTGTCCCACCCTGGTCATTCTACAGATATATAAACCCTTTTTCCTAGTTCCAACAGACCTCACTACCTCTGAGGATGCTTGCCATAGATGCAGGCGAAATGTCAGGAGAGAATGCCTCTAGAATATGGCCATATAGCCTGAAAAAACCTACAACAACCCAGTGATTCTGGCCATGAAAGCCTTCGACAATACATTATTATTATTATTATTATTTATCATATTCTGCCAATTTGTAATTCTTACTACTGAGATTTGAATAGGTAGCATCCTTAAAAAAAGTTTATTTGGGGTAATATTGTCCTTTTTATTTATTCATGCTATTCTGCCTCTTGATTCTTCCAGGCGTCTTTGGCATGACCAACCGGGACAGCTATTTTTACGCCGCCATCGTCGCCGTGGTGGCCGTCCACGTTGTCCTTGCTCTTTTTGTCTACGCGGCCTGGAACGAAGGCTCCCGACAGTGGCGGGAGGGCAAGCAGGACTGAGCGCGGCGGGCAAGGGAACCCTCTCCGGCCCAGGTGGTATCGATCATAACGGAGCGGGGTGGACGGCACCTCTTCTCCTTCCCCGCCATTTTTGTTTCAGTGACAGCTGTGACTTCGTGGGCCTCGTGGGCTTCACGGGCCTCAAATTCTGGTAGAAAGAGGCACAACTGCGCACGCTCAAAGGAATATTCCGTCACCTTCTTGGAGAAGAATCTCAGGATACCTTTTGTTTGTAAACAACCAGCTGAGGACTTTATTGGAATCCACATGGGAAAGATTTGCAAATCAAAAAGTTCCAAACGGATGTCTTACTTAGATTGCAAATGGGTGAAATTAACTGGAAATTAAGATTTGTGTCTTCTTGGGTTGAGGAAACACCCATGGAGGAGAATGGGTGTTGTTTACCCCAAGCGTGTCTTTGCAAAACCCCTTCCACATCTGAATAAAATCCCACATTTTCCGTTTCAAAATGGAATATATGGCAGTGTGGACGCAGATAACTCAAAGCAGATATGCTGGGATTTTCTGCCGTGATATTCTGGGTTCTGTGGCTGTGCGGACGGGCCCTGAGTGAAGTCTTTCTGTTCCTCACCTCTTAAGCATTTAGTGTACGATGTCTTTCCCTCCAAAGCAGAGCTTGCCAGATGCCGCAATCTCGATTCCAATCATTGTTGTCCATCTCCTTCCTTACTTAGTCTCTCATTCGGTATCAGTCATTGATTGAGGTTCTGGGTTTGAGCCTGCCACTTTTGGACTCTCGCTTGCTGAGGTGTTCCAGCGAGTGTCTCTGTAGATCTTAGGAAACTATTTCGTGATTTAAGTCGTTGGCGTGCTGGCTGATACCCTTACTTACTTACATACTTAGGCGATCCCTCGTTGTCCGAGTACGATAATCCTTCAGGGTGGGTTCATAGGTGCCTGTGGAGCCCGATTCTTGATCTGCATCTTCTCCCGCAGTGAGGGTATTAGTTTCCAGGTGGAAGGTGGTCCCAGTTGGCCTTCCTCTTGGAACATTTATCTCTTTTGCCCTCCATTCGTGCCTCTTCAAATTCTGCAGCATTGCTGGTCACAGCTGACCTCCAACTGGAGCGCTCACAAGCCAGGGCTTCCCAGTTCTAAGTGTCTATGCCAGAGTTTGTAAGGTTGGCTTTGAGGCCATCTTTCAATCTCTTTTCCTGCCCACCAACATTCCATTTTCCGTTCTTGAGTTTTGAGCAAAGCAACTGCTTTGGGGGACGGTGGTCGGGCATCCAGACAACATGGCCAGTCCAGCGGAGTTGATGGTGGAGGAGCATTGCTTCAATGCTGGTGGTCTTTGCTTCTTTTTCTATTTCCCCGCTTGTCTTCCCAAGAGATTTGCAGGATTTTCTGGAGACAGCGCTGATGGAATCGTTCCAGGAGTTGCATGTGACGTCTGTAGACAGTCCACGTTTCGCAGGCGTAAAGCAGGGTTGGGAGGACAATAGCGTTATAAACAAGCTGCTTGGTCTCCCTACGGGTGTCCCGGTCCTCAAACACTCTCTGCTTTATTCAGAAGAATACTGCACTCACAGAGCTCAGGCAGTGTTGACGTCTGTAGACAGTCCATGTTTTGCAGGTTGGGAGGACAATAGCTTTATAAACAAGCCCCTTGGTCTCCCTACGGGTGTCCCATTCTTCAAACACTTTGCTTTATTTGGAAGAATACTGCACTCGCAGAGCTCAGGCAGTGTTGACGTATGTAGACAGTCAATGTTTCGCAGGCGTAAAGCAGGGTTGGGAGGACAATAGCTTTATAAACAAGCCCCTTGGTCTCCCTAAGGGTGTTCCATTCCTCAAACACTCTCTGCTTTATTCAGAAGAATACTGCACTCTCAGAGCTCATGCGGTGTTGACGTATGTAGACAGTCCACGTTTCGCAGGCATAAAGCAGGGTTAGGAGGACAATAGCTTTATAAACAAGCTCCTTGGTCTCCCTACGGGTGTCCCGTTCTTCAAACACTCTCTGCTTTATTCGGAAGAATACTGCACTCTCAGAGCTCAGGCGGTGTTGATGTATGTAGACAGTCCACGTTTCGCAGGCGTAAAGCAGGGTTGGTAGGACAATAGCTTTATAAACAAGCCCCTTGGTCTATAGCCTGAAAAAACCTACAGCAACCCAGTGATTCCAGCCATGAAAGCCTTCGACAATAGCCTGTGCATTGTTTGAGGAGCTCTTCTTGGTTTTGAGTTGAATTCCATCTTCTGCTTTCAACATTTCAGCCTTGCCCTCTTGGAAAGAAGGAAAAGCCAAACCCTTCGTGATGGGAATGTTGCTCCTCTTCTTCCTTGCAAATAAAGGTGTCTAGTATTGAAATGTGAAACCCAAATCAGGGTCCTTGAATTCAGCTTGAACAAAATAGTGGTTTTTCTTGTTTACGTTGGCCGTTTCGCGCTGCTCTTTGTGGAATCATGGGGAAAACATCTCTTCCTTGTTTTCTTCTTCTTTTTCCACTCTATATAAAATCGATGTTGTACGGTGAACTCTTCCTTTTAATAAAAGGTACTTGTTAATTTCCGGATCCAGTTAAATGCAGGTGTTGAAACCGTAACTAATTTATTTTGGACATTTGTGTCCCGTCCTATCTCGACCTCCGCAGAGAGACTCAGGGCGGCTAACAAAACGGCACCCCATGGTGCTCACAACCAAAAACATACATATGCAATTTAAATAACAACAAATAGTTCCTTTGCGGTGGGTTTTGGGGGTCTTCCTTGCCCAGGATGCATATGGGAACTGATAAAGCTTCAGAAGGAAGAATGAGAAAGAATTGGGAGGCATTTCTGGGTGGGTTTCGGGGGTCCTCCCTGTCCAGGATGCATATGGGAACTGATAAACTTCAGAAGGAAGAATAAGAAAGAATTGGGAGGCATTTCTGGGTGGGTTTGGGGGGTCCTCCCTGTCCAGGATGCATATGGGAACTGATAAAGCTTCAGAAGGAAGAATGAGAAAGAATTGGGAGGCATTTCTGGGTGGGTTTGGGGGTCTTCCTTGCCCAGGATGCATATGGGAACGGATAAAGCTTCAGAAGGAAGAATAAGAAAGAATTGGGAGGCATTTCTGGGTGGGTTTTGGGGGTCTTCCTTGTCCAGGATGCATATGGGAACTGATAAAGCTTCAGAAGGAAGAATAAGAAAGAATTGGGAGGCATTTCTGGGTGGGTTTCGGGGGTCTTCCTTGTCCAGGATGCATATGGGAACTGATAAATCTTCAGAAGGAAGAATGAGAAAGAATTTGGAGGCATTTCTGGGTGGGTTTCGGGGGTCTTCCTTGTCCAGGATGCATATGGGAACTGATAAAGCTTCAGAAGGAAGAATGAGAAAGAATTGGGAGGCATTTCTGGGTGGGTTTGGGGGGTCTTCCTTACCCAGGATGCATATGGGAACTGATAAAGCTTCAGAAGGAAGAACAAGAAAGAATTTGGAGGCATTTCTGGGTGGGATTTGGGGGTCTTCCTTGTCCAGGATGCATATGGGAACTGATAAAGCTTCAGAAGGAAGAATGAGAAAGAATTGGGAGGCATTTCTGGGTGGGTTTCGGGGGTCTTCCTTGTCCAGGATGCATATAATAAAGCTGCAGAAGGAAGAATAAGAAAGAATTGGGAGGCATTTCTGGGTGGGTTTCGGGGGTCTTCCTTGTCCAGGATGCATATGGGAACTGATAAATCTTCAGAAGGAAGAATGAGAAAGAATTTGGAGGCATTTCTGGGTGGGTTTCGGGGGTCTTCCTTGTCCAGGATGCATATGATAAAGCTGCAGAAGGAAGAATAAGAAAGAATTGGGAGGCATTTCTGGGTGGGTTTCGGGGGTCCTCCCTGTCCAGGATGCATATGGGAACTGATAAAGCTTCAGAAGGAAGAATAAGAAAGAATTTGGAGGCATTTCTGGGTGGGTTTCGGGGGTCTTCCTTGTCCAGGATGCATATAATAAAGCTGCAGAAGGAAGAATAAGAAAGAATTGGGAGGCATTTCTGGGTGGGTTTCGGGGGTCCTCCCTGTCCAGGATGCATATGGGAATTGATAAAGCTTCAGAAGGAAGAATGAGAAAGAATTGGGAGGCATTTCTGGGTGGGTTTCGGGGGTCTTCCTTACCCAGGATGCATATGGGAACTGATAAAGCTTCAGAAGGAAGAATGAGAAAGAATTGGGAGGCATTTCTGGGTGGGATTTGGGGGTCTTCCTTACCCAGGATGCATATGGGAACGGATAAACTTCAGAAGGAAGAATAAGAAAGAATTTGGAGGCATTTCTGGGTGGGTTTCGGGGGTCCTCCCTGTCCAGGATGCATATGGGAACTGATAAACTTCAGAAGGAAGAATAAGAAAGAATTTGGAGGCATTTCTGGGTGGGTTTCGGGGGTCTTCCTTGTCCAGGATGCATATAATAAAGCTGCAGAAGGAAGAATAAGAAAGAATTGGGAGGCATTTCTGGGTGGGTTTCGGGGGTCCTCCCTGTCCAGGATGCATATGGGAATTGATAAAGCTTCAGAAGGAAGAATGAGAAAGAATTGGGAGGCATTTCTGGGTGGGTTTCGGGGGTCTTCCTTGTCCAGGATGCATATAATAAAGCTGCAGAAGGAAGAATAAGAAAGAATTGGGAGGCATTTCTGGGTGGGTTTCGGGGGTCTTCCTGTCCAGGATGCATATGGGAACTGATAAAGCTTCAGAAGGAAGAGAAAAAAAAAAAAAAAAAAAAAGAAAAAAAAAGAAAGGGGAAGGAAGGAAAAGGGAGGGAAAAAAAAAAAAGATCACAACCAAAAACATACATATGCAATTTAAATAACAACAAATAGTTCCTTTGCGGTGGGTTTTGGGGGTCTTCCTTGCCCAGGATGCATATGGGAACTGATAAAGCTTCAGAAGGAAGAATGAGAAAGAATTGGGAGGCATTTCTGGGTGGGTTTCGGGGGTCTTCCTTGTCCAGGATGCATATGGGAACTGATAAAGCTTCAGAAGGAAGAATGAGAAAGAATTGGGAGGCATTTCTGGGTGGGTTTCGGGGGTCTTCCTTGTCCAGGATGCATATAATAAAGCTGCAGAAGGAAGAATAAGAAAGAATTGGGAGGCATTTCTGGGTGGGTTTCGGGGGTCCTCCCTGTCCAGGATGCATATGGGAATTGATAAAGCTTCAGAAGGAAGAATGAGAAAGAATTGGGAGGCATTTCTGGGTGGGTTTCGGGGGTCTTCCTTACCCAGGATGCATATGGGAACTGATAAAGCTTCAGAAGGAAGAATAAGAAAGAATTTGGAGGCATTTCTGGGTGGGTTTCGGGGGTCCTCCCTGTCCAGGATGCATATGGGAACGGATAAACTTCAGAAGGAAGAATAAGAAAGAATTTGGAGGCATTTCTGGGTGGGTTTCGGGGGTCCTCCCTGTCCAGGATGCATATGGGAACGGATAAACTTCAGAAGGAAGAATAAGAAAGAATTTGGAGGCATTTCTGGGTGGGTTTCGGGGGTCTTTCTTGTCCAGGATGCATATGATAAAGCTTCAGAAGGAAGAATAAGAAAGAATTGGGAGGCATTTCTGGGTGGGTTTCGGGGGTCTTCCTTGCCCAGGATGCATATGGGAACGGATAAAGCTTCAGAAGGAAGAATAAGAAAGAATTTGGAGGCATTTCTGGGTGAGTTTCGGGGGTCTTCCTTGTCCAGGATGCATATGGGAACGGATAAAGCTTCAGAAGGAAGAATAAGAAAGAATTTGGAGGCATTTCTGGGTGAGTTTCGGGGGTCTTCCTTGCCCAGGATGCATATGGGAATGGATAAAGCTTCAGAAGGAAGAATAAGAAAGAATTGGGAGGCATTTCTGGGTGGGTTTCGGGGGTCTTCCTTGTCCAGGATGCATATAATAAAGCTGCAGAAGGAAGAATAAGAAAGAATTGGGAGGCATTTCTGGGTGGGTTTCGGGGGTCCTCCCTGTCCAGGATGCATATGGGAATTGATAAAGCTTCAGAAGGAAGAATGAGAAAGAATTGGGAGGCATTTCTGGTGGGTTTCGGGGGTCTTCCTTACCCAGGATGCATATGGGAACTGATAAAGCTTCAGAAGGAAGAATGAGAAAGAATTGGGAGGCATTTCTGGGTGGGTTTCGGGGGTCTTCCTTGTCCAGGATGCATATAATAAAGCTGCAGAAGGAAGAATAAGAAAGAATTGGGAGGCATTTCTGGGTGGGTTTCGGGGGTCCTCCCTGTCCAGGATGCATATGGGAATTGATAAAGCTTCAGAAGGAAGAATGAGAAAGAATTGGGAGGCATTTCTGGGTGGGTTTCGGGGGTCTTCCTTACCCAGGATGCATATGGGAACTGATAAAGCTTCAGAAGGAAGAACAAGAAAGAATTTGGAGGCATTTCTGGTTGGGATTTGGGGGTCTTCCTTACCCAGGATGCATATGGGAACGGATAAACTTCAGAAGGAAGAATAAGAAAGAATTTGGAGGCATTTCTGGGTGGGTTTCGGGGGTCCTCCCTGTCCAGGATGCATATGGGAACGGATAAACTTCAGAAGGAAGAATAAGAAAGAATTTGGAGGCATTTCTGGGTGGGTTTCGGGGGTCTTTCTTGTCCAGGATGCATATGATAAAGCTTCAGAAGGAAGAATAAGAAAGAATTGGGAGGCATTTCTGGGTGGGTTTCGGGGGTCTTCCTTGCCCAGGATGCATATGGGAACGGATAAAGCTTCAGAAGGAAGAATAAGAAAGAATTTGGAGGCATTTCTGGGTGGGTTTCGGGGGTCTTCCTTGTCCAGGATGCATATGGGAATGGATAAAGCTTCAGAAGGAAGAATAAGAAAGAATTGGGAGGCATTTCTGGGTGAGTTTCGGGGGTCTTCCTTGCCCAGGATGCATATGGGAATGGATAAAGCTTCAGAAGGAAGAATAAGAAAGAATTGGGAGGCATTTCTGGGTGAGTTTCGGGGGTCTTCCTTGTCCAGGATGCATATGGGAACGGATAAAGCTTCAGAAGGAAGAATAAGAAAGAATTTGGAGGCATTTCTGGGTGAGTTTCGGGGGTCTTCCTTGTCCAGGATGCATATGATAAAGCTGCAGAAGGAAGAATAAGAAAGAATTGGGAGGCATTTCTGGGTGGGTTTCGGGGGTCTTCCTTGTCCAGGATGCATATGGGAATGGATAAAGCTTCAGAAGGAAGAATAAGAAAGAATTGGGAGGCATTTCTGGGTGAGTTTCGGGGGTCTTCCTTGCCCAGGATGCATATGGGAATGGATAAAGCTTCAGAAGGAAGAATAAGAAAGAATTGGGAGGCATTTCTGGGTGAGTTTCGGGGGTCTTCCTTGTCCAGGATGCATATGGGAACGGATAAAGCTTCAGAAGGAAGAATAAGAAAGAATTTGGAGGCATTTCTGGGTGAGTTTCGGGGGTCTTCCTTGTCCAGGATGCATATGATAAAGCTGCAGAAGGAAGAATAAGAAAGAATTGGGAGGCATTTCTGGGTGGGTTTCGGGGGTCTTCCTTGTCCAGGATGCATATGGGAACTGATAAATCTTCAGAAGGAAGAATGAGAAAGAATTTGGAGGCATT